TAGAGCCCCCCCCCCCCCCGCCTTGGAGCCCGAGCCCTGCCCTCCCCCCGCTCCCCCCCCCACCGGGAGGCAGGGCGGTCGGGGTCGCCAGCGTGATGTCCCCTGCCCACTCCACAGCAGCCCTGCCGGAGAACCCCGCAGCCCTGGTGGTGGTGCTGATGGCCGTGCTGCTGCTCCTGGCCCTGCTGACCGCCGCCCTCATCCTCTACCGCCGGCGACAGAGCATCGAGCGGGGGGCCTTCGAGGGTGCCCGCTACAGCCGCAGCAGCACCGGCCCAGGCGAGGCCACTGAGAAGAACATCCTGGTGTCCGACATGGAAATGAACGAGCAGCAAGACTAGAGCCAAGGGCATGGGCAGGGCGGGGGGCAGGAGGAAGGCTGGGGAGCCAGGCCCCCCGCCAGCACCAGGTCTGCTCGGGCTGTGGAGGGGGCCCTTGGGAGTGACTGCTGGGAGCCGGGGCTGGGGGTTCTGCCCTCCGTGAGGGCAGAGTGCACTGTGTTCCCCTGGGGTGGGGGCCGCCAGTCCTGTCGCCTGGCCTGTGCCCCAGGGTAACCAGAGGCAGGGTGGAAGGGGGAAGAGGGACTGCTGCTGCTCCCACCAGAGCCCCTCGCCCAGGCCTGTCGACCCTCACGCCCACCAGGACCCCCTTAGGTGCAGAGCCCGCAGAAGTGCCCTGTCCCCTGGGTAGCTCCCTCTGTCGCTTCTCTCGTCCCACCCGGCGGGCTCAGCTCTGCACCCCTCCCCCTGCCCCTTTGCCCCCGACTCACCCAGCCTGCCCTCTGAGCCTGGGTCCTGGGGTTTGGGGCAGCCCTCCTGCTCTTAATGGGGGTCAGTTCAGGGGGCTGGGCACCCCACTCCTGTGCCTGCTGGGGAGGCTGTGGGGCACAGCAGGAGGGCCCTGGGTAGGTCAGGCCTGAGAACCAGGGCCCCAGTGTGGGGTCTGCTGGGCTGGGCGCAGGACTGGGGAGAGACACCCCAACCTCCCAAAGGAGAGAGGGCTGGGGTGTCACCTCCTGCCGGGCAGGGGAGGGCCGCGTCCCTGAAAGAGTCCCCTGTGGGGACAGAAGTAAGTTCCCTATCACGTCCAGCTCCTGGCTCTGGTTTGGAGAGAGGGGAGGGGCTTGCCTGCAACTGGGGGCCTGGGAGAAGCAGGTGCCCAGGGCCGGCTGCAGGTGTCACACTCGGGTGAGGCTCAGAGGACTGCGCCTGCGCTCTGAGCGCCCCCCTTGGAGGTGGGGATCTTGGTGGGGGGTGGGAGGGAGTGTGCAGCCAGTCCTGGGGCCCCAGAATGGGACAATGTGAACACGGACTCCAAGACATGGTCCCTTTTGTGTAGTTCTTGATTTTTTTAAAATGTGCCATTATTTTGGAAAAAAAGGAAAAAAGAAAAGCAAACAAATAAAACACCTGTAAGAGGCTTGAGAGAGAGGGTTCTGCTTGTCCTGTTGTGAGCCAGTTTCCTCACCTCCCTGCCATTTGCTTCTCCCTCTGGGCCCCCTGGGGGCACTCTCGCTTCTGTACCCTTTTAGGCCTGCTCTTCTTCCTCTTTGTTCCTGGGGAAGGTGGGTGACAAGGTGGGAGCCAGGCTGCCCGCTGCACGGGCAGCCCCGTGGGCCCAGGCGGCCATGCTCTCCTGGGAGTGGGAGAGGCCAGCCCGCCTGCACAGCGGCTGGAAGGGTCTTTGGGGGTTAAGCGAGATGATGGTGCAAAACACACAGTACAGTGCCTTTGGAGCCTGGGCAGCAGGTGCTCCGTGCCGTCAGCTGTTACTGGGATTTCCAGCCTGCGGCTCCCTGGCCAGCATTTGGGGTGCCTGTGCCCTCCCTGGGCGTCCACAGCATTGTCCTTCCAAGGCAGCCGCTGTACCTGCCTCCGACTGCTATGCAGTTCGTCTTTGTCCTTGGGGGAAGCACCTTAGCTCATTGGCTGTTCATTCAGAAGGTGCGGGACACAAGGCTGACTGTCATCATTGTGCTAAATGCCCAGAGGAGGACCAGCCCAGGGCATGGGTGCAGCCGTCCTGGTTTCTGCTTCGTGGTAGAGGAGCCCCCACCCCGGAGGCCAGGAGCAGGACGAAGGGGGACGTGGAGGGGCGAGGTGGGGGGAGGGCTGGTGGCAGGGTGCCCAAGGCCCAGATGGCCCGGCTGGGTTTGGACGTTTTATGTGCAGTGGGAGTGGCAAAGCGGCCTGGCCGGGGGTGGGGGCGTCACCGCGGGCGGGGAGCGGGAGGGAAAGCAGGGAGGCTGACGAGGACGCTCTGCCTGCCCGGAGCACCAGGTTGGTTTGCGTCAGGCCAGCAGCAGTGGCCGGGTTCAAGGAGCCGCTGGGGCTGCTGCCCGCTCTTGATTTCCATATAGTTCCCCCTTTCTGAGCAGCCAGCTGCAGCCACGTGGTTCATAACCAAAGGCCAGGAGCAGGCAGGGCAGCCCGAGCAGGCCGCAGCCTCTCTGCTGTTGCTTTGCAGACCCTGTGTTTGCCTGGGGGCATGGCAGACACGTGCTGGGCACAGGCCGGCTCAGAGGGCCTGGGAGCCTGGCTGTGCTTGACTCTTGGGCTCAGGTGGATGGGCGCCCGGGTCCCAAGTGGGGAGCCCTGGCCAGCCTGGTGGACCTTCACCCAGCCCTGCCCCCTCTGCAGTAACAGGACCCTGTGGAGGGCCTGGCAACTCCGGGCAGGGAGCTCCGGGCCTATGAGAGGTCCTTAATGATTAACCCACTTCATTCTCTCTCCAAACCCGCAGCTCAGCTCCCTTTGTGAGCCAAGTGCCCCGGGCTGAGGCTGGGACTCCAGGACCACTTGGCCGGCAGCTGGGAGTCCTGCTGGGGAGCGGCCCTCAAGTGCCTACTGGCCCTTGCTCGGGAGAGGGTAGGGCAGAGCCCGCTTAGGGCTTGGGCTCACGACCTTGCCTGACCTTACTCTGCTTTCCTTGGGGGACCAGTGTCTCACCAGAGCCCCACCCCCACCTGCAGACATTACAGAGACCTCCTTCTAGCCTCCGTGCGGTGGGGCAGGGGAGCTCCGGCTGTCCGGGTGGCGGCTACAGGGACACTCCTGCAGTTCTCGGGGGAGCAGGAGGGTGGCTCTGGGCCCTGCCACCAGCCCTCTGGATGCAGCATGCCCTGGCTCTGCTGGGGCACACGGCACAGGCTCTCCACTCCCTGTGCATTTCATTCGTAAGCATGAAACACCTCCTCTGTGTGCTGGCTCCCTGCTGGGCGGCGGTGGGCCTGGGCACAGGGCACCGTCTGCCAGGCGCTGTGCCCGACCTGCACTGGCAGGCCTACCCCAGCCCAGCCTTGGCCACCTGGCCGGGCAGCGACGGCTCCAGAATCCATGAATGAACGGGGCGGGGCGTTCGCCCAGCCTCCTCCCAGGTGTCCTGGCAGAGCTGGCAGGGCCCAGCAGGCGGCGCCTTTAGGCCGCAGGGGCCAGGAGCCAGCCAGCCACAGCACATGGCTCTCCTGGTGCCCAGCCAGCCTGCCTTGGGCACCAGGCTTGAGTCTGTGTAGGCATAGGGCAGAGAGCTGAGGGAGACAGAGGGAGGAAAGGGGAGAGGAGCCGGGCCAGCCAGGGCTGGAAGCGCCCAGGTGTTCCGGCCAGGCCTTTGACCCACGGGATGGGAGGAAAAAGCCACCTTCCATCTTCGCTCCCACCGGCAGCAGCACCATCTGAGGGGCAGACTTCGGGCCTTCCTTGTCCAGGAAGCACGCAGGACGCCAGCCTGGAGGAAGAGCGGGCGGAGGGCAGCGGCTGGAGGCGTTCTGGCCGCAGGCGCTGCCGGGTGCAAAGACGGGCTACCTTCTTAGCCGGCTGCCGGCAGAACTCAACTTGGAGCCCTCACAGGAACGCTCCCACGGGGCTCCCCGACAGCGCGCCCCTCCCTGGCGCGCCCCCTGCAGGCCTCTACCATCTCTGCTCACTCTGCAAAACGCGGGGTTGGGGGCATGGCCTTGGGTGAAAGGGACCCCATTGTCCCTGCCAGACTGAACTCCCTGGGGCCTGGCAGCGAAGGTTCCACCTGCTGGCCTCAACCCCTGGAAGATTCTCGAAGTAATTGCCCAGCACCGAGAGGAGGATGGCCGACTCCATTGCTGCCTTCCAAGGGCCAGCCCCGGTCCTCGGGGTGCTCGGGAGGCTGCGCCGTCTGTCCCATCCCAGACCTGATTGCGTCTTAGGGCAGGCATTCCTGGCTGTGTGGGCACATCCTGAAATAGTTTCCCATAGAAAGGGCACAGCTGCAAAGAACCCGCCGCTCTTCTGATGTAAGCCGGCGGTCACGCCCCCGCCGTGCACCGGAGCTGGCAGCCTGCCTCAGCTCCTTTTAAAATATGCACCGTCCCTTCTCACACGTTTCTCAGCGCTGGCTCCTGGCCAAATCTTTAGTCAGCCTTACAGCTCAGTTAAAAAATAAAGGCCCGTCCCCTCCCCCACTCCCCCACTCCCCCACCCCCGAGCTGGGGAAGAACTTGGGGCTTTGGAGATTTTTTTTTACATCAGGGAGATATTTTCCTTTGCCAGGCGACCCCAGGCTCGCCTGCTCGCGGGTCCAGGCCACCTGGTTGCACCTGCAGGTTTGTCACTGACTCGTCACTCTAACTGGGCCCATATGATGTGGCGGCTCTGGGACCAGGCCACTGTCACAGAGTGGAACATTTTTCCACGTCTCAATTTGTCTCCTCTGCGTTTTATTATTTTTTGACCTCTCTTTGTCTCTTTTTTCCACCTCTTACACACACAGGCACACTCATTCTCACGCTCTTTTTTTTCTCTGACCTTTTTCTTTTGTAACCCCAAATCCTGACTTGGTCTTTGGGCCCTAAGACACAATACAGGGGAGGTGCAGCGTCCACGCACCTACAGGTCCCAAGCGGGTACTCACAGGGCCCAGGAGGTGTCATCTCCAGGCAGTGAAGATGAGGGGGGCTATGGGCTGCATTCCCCCCCCCCCCCGCCTGGCCGTGGCCTTTGTGATAGCAGAAATAAGCAGGCGGCGCGGCATGTGGGGGAAGAACGTGTTTACTGAGTGCACGGCCCATCCACTGGCAGTGGAGCGAGGCGTGAACAGGTGCCCTCACCAGGGGGCCTGAGCCCCTGGGGCTCCTGGGCTGGGGGTCCTGCAGCAGGGCAGCCCCCCGGCTCCTCGGTCTGTGCTGTGTGTCACGAGGCTGGTCGCCGGTGCTGCGGACACCTTGCGCGAGGTGGAAAGGGTGACAGCACATCTGGCTGCAGTAAAAAGAGGCGGAGGGAGGGGGCACAGGGCAGGGATGCAGGGAGGCGAGCGGCGGAGGGGGCACCACCCGAGTCCGCGGCCGGCTCCCTCGCTAGACCAGGCGGCTTGGAGAGATGCTGCCTTCGCTCTCCTCCCCCAGCTCGGAATCTGCAAAGCAAGGAGACCCTAGGCTGTAGACAGGCGTGCCACAGGGGTCCGTCCTTTCCCTCCCAGCCCCGCCCCTGCAGCCAGCCCCACACACGGCCACTGTGCCTGGGACAGTGTGGGCAACAGACACCCACAGTCCAGCCCGCTGGGGTCCCAGGCAGACTACGAGAGCTTCTTGGTCCTGTCCACACCCTCACGCGGCCCTGTGCGACGAGGGCACAGGGCCTTCAAAGAGTTCACAGGGATTGCATATTAAGCAAGAACTGTGCATGTATTTTAAAATAAAGTGTGTTTTTTTTTAACACCAAAATAAACTTCTCTTTAATTCCATTTCTCCCTGGCCTTTCTGAGGGCCGTTTTGCAGGCCAAGAGCTGAAGGGGCTTTTGCTACCAGGTTCGGAGCCTTCCAGGAACAGGGGCAGAGCCCAGGGGTTTGGCATCAGTCCGGGGGGAATTCCTCCTCCTTGGCTTGGGGCGGGCGCTCCCTGACTGTATGATTTCTGCCTGTTGAAGGCCAGGGAGCGGGAGCAGGTGCCACCTCATTTCCCTACCTGGCCCTCTCAGCTCAGCCCTTTTGCCCCGAGAAGCCCCTGCCCTCACATAGCCCTCACCGTGTTTGGGTGGGCGGGTGAGGGCACAGGTGCTCTGGCCCAGCCTTTGGCCTGGGGCCCAGGCTCCTGGCCTCACCTGTCTGGATAGCTGCAGGTGGCACTGTTCCCCTCCCCCTGGCCTTGGCCGCAGTGACAGTCATGCGTGCCAGCTGGGAAGCAGCTGGCAGGGCGGCTGGGTCACAGAGCCACGTGACAAGTTGTCAGACCTGGGCACACACACCCAGGGGCTCTCCCGGCCACCCTTATCTTGCTACCACTTGTAGCCATGGTGTGGGGCTTTGGCTCTCAGGTGCAGGGGAGCCTGGTGAACAGGCTGGCATGGATGCAGAGAGCCACAAGGAAGCTGGACTCTCTCTGTGCCACTTTGTGTGCCCTGATGCTTTGCCTTTTCTCCTCCCTGCTTATCTGAAGCAGCAGCAGGTCACAGCTGTAACTCAGCCCTGAAAGCCTGCCTTCACCAAGGGCTGCCAACCAGGTGAGGCGTGCCAGGTTGCCATGGCCCGCGGGGAGGGCCGGACACACTTGGCGCTGCCTCTAGCTGCCTTGGATCATCTAGATAATGGCCGGGCCTCCAGCGCAGTGCCCTCCAGGGCGTCTGGGCCCACCTGTCCAGAGGAGAACCGGCTGCCTTGCTGGGAGCAGGGGCGGGGTCATCCTAGAGCCAGACCTCTCTCAGAAGGACCCCTTGGAGCAACAGGGTCCCTCTGTCCCCTCTGCAGTGACTCCTTTTTAAGCACCACCCAGGGTTGCTCTTCTGCCCTCCAGAGACGCCAGTCTCCCGTGAAGCCCGGGCTTGGCGCCCAGGGTGCCCTTTGCGGGTCTCGAGCCCAGGCCCCAAGGTCTACGGGGAACGACCTGGGCGGCACCGGCCCGCACTGGGCTCTAGGGGGCGCCCTTGCCCAGTCAAACCCACCCTGGCCAAAGGTTTCTCCGAAGCCCAGGAGCGGCGGGCGCCTCGGGGTGGGGTCGGGAAGGAGGCGCCGCGAGGTGCGGCGTGGGGACCTTTCAAGGGGTCTTGTGCGACCCGGGTCAGCGCAGGCCGGAGCCGGGAGTGCCCAGCGCCGGGGCCTGGCGCCCCATAGCTCCCTTTCTGGAGCTGGAGGCTGTCGCCCAGGCCGAGGGCCGGCCCGAAGCGGTGAGTGCGGCCGCCGCGGCGAGCTCTCGCCGAGGCCTCCCCGCTGCCTTCGCGGCCGCGGGCGGATGCGGGCGCGCAGAGACCCTGCCAGGGGTTTGCGGCCGCCGCCCGAGCGCCCACCGGGCCTCGCCGGGACACGAAGGGGGCGCTGGACGCACGGCGGCTCGGCCGGGTCCCCGCGGTTGTGCGCGGCGCTGGGTGCCAGGAGCTGCTTTTGTGAACGCGAGGCAGGGCCCTCCCGGGTCTGTGCGCGCCGCTTCGCGGGAGCGCGTGTCTGCGTAAGAAAGGAGCTCATCGGGGGTCGCAGGCGGCAGGCAGGTCCGCCGGGGCTCCCCGCCAGGGCCCCCGCCCGCGCCTGGAGCGCGGTCCCCGGGGCGCTCGGGAACCTGAACCCGGGGCGCGCCCGGCTGCTCGGCGCTGCGGCTTCTCGGTCGGGCCGGGAGCTGCGACGGTTCCCGCGGCGCAGGCTCCCCGCTGCGGGACGAGCCCTCCCGGGCCCGGCTCCCAGCCCTCGTGCCTCCATCGAGTGCACTCTGTGGCGGAGGGAACAGGAAGGAGACTCCCTTTCGGGGCGCGTTCTCAGGCGCCCTCCCCGCTTTGCCCAGCTTCTGACTCCAGAGCCCCCCTGGACTGGGCTGAATGGAGGGCAGAGTTGGTGGGCGAACGTGGCCCCTTGTGCAAACACCCCCTGCCAGGGTTGGAGCCTTGAGGGGAACCCGGCGGCCCCCCAGCTGTCGGCTGCGTGGGCCTGGGGCGGTACCCCATGCCTCGGCGGCCCTTGCCCGACCTTGTGGAAGAATAAAAATTCTCGCCCGCGCTGCGAGGCCCGGCCTGCGGGCTGCGGCTGGGCTCCGCCCTGTGCCCGGGGTTGCTGTCGCCTGCGGGGGGCGGCCGTGGCTCCTTCCCGCGGCATTAGGCTCAACAGGCAACAGAGTAACTGAATCAGAGCAGTTAGGAAAGGAAAAGCACCCACAAAACGACAGGGCTGACCCCAAAACCTACTTTCATCTTCTTCCTGTCGGGGTTGTAGGTAATTTCTTGACAACTATGAGAAAGAAGACAATGAGGAGTGAATTGTTTTTCCAGGGCCGCGGTGAACGCATGTATTAATTCCCCAGCCTCGGGAATGTTCTAGGAGCCCCTTACATCACCTGGAAGGGGCGGGGAACCTGGCTGGCGGAGACGCCCAGGCCAGCGGCTGATCTGCGGCCTCCACGGGGTGTGGCCTGGTCCTAAATAAAGAGCCGCAGCAGCCACAGCCCGGGTCACCTTTGTCATTTGGGGCTTCTAAATTTCGTGGTGGAACAGACATGCTTCCTTTCGGCAATTGACCAGACAGTCAGAATCCACTCCCCCCCACACACACCCAATGGCTCAGGCGTGGCATTTCCAGGCTGCAAGGGGGGAAGGGCCCTGCTAATTGGCCCCTGGCCCCAGCGCTGGCTTTTAAACAATCGCTGTATTTTCTGCCCAGCAGGAAGCGGCAGGCCTGTGGAGGCCCTGGGCTATCTCTTTGTCCTTTCTGGTGCTTTATGCCTTCGTGGGAGCCCATTGTGCAGGCAGGAGGGGCTGGGAAGAAGAGAGGCTTTGTGACAAGCTAGGGGACAAAACAAGGGGTCCTGGACACTACCCCTGGAGCAACTGTGTGGCCAGTGTGGAAGCAGCCCTGGTCTGCAGGTGCCTTTCTGTGCCCAGCGTGGGGACAGAAGGAGGATGGAGTTGGTCTAGGGTGGCAGGTGCCGGCCACCTGGTAAATGAGTCCTTCGCACGGTGCTCTCGGCTGGGCCGCTGAGGGGACCTCAAGCTGCCTCTAGATTCCAATTCTGTGCCCGTGACCACAACTGTGCAACCAACCCTCAGCCTCTGCCATCTTGGTGAGGAGGGAAGGTTTTCTGACCGTGGACCAAACCTGGCTTCTCTCGGCAGGGCTGGATTTGGTCCTTGGAGGCGGAGTTGCCATTTTGTAGAAGTGGTGTGAACGGGGAGGGGCCCTGGCCCGAGTGGCAGCAGGATGGGGGCGCTGCTTCTTGGTGCTCCCAGGCCCAGGTCAGCTGCTGACTGCTCCGGCTGGCCTGAAGCCTCCGCCTGGGGCGGAAGGCAAAGGAGGGCGCCCCCTGCAGGAGACTACCCGAATCATCAGATGGAGACTGGAGAAGACATGGGCCAGGAGGACGCTCAGAACAGCACGCTGACGGGGAAGAGGGCAGGCAAGTGCACTCAGCATCACCTCCTGGCCAGCCTGTGTCCCCGTCAGGCTACAGGGCAAGCCGGGCCCGGTGAGGCTGTGTTCCCTGGAGATGCCCCCATCTTGGAAAAGGGCCAGCTCCCTGCCGGGCACTAGTGGAGAGGAACACACAGTGCTGTGCACCCCTCATCCCTGCCCACCCAGTTGGGCCCCTTCCCCCCTGCTGGTTTCTACCCCAGCGCATCCTCGATGGGCCTCCCAGGCTCTGGGCTGAAGCCAATCGGTGGTCCGGGGCTGCACGCAGCCTTTGTGCCCAGGCATGGACTACCCCGGCCTCCCCAGCTGCTCTCCGCGAGAGTCGGTCTCAGCATCATCTCCTGCACTGGCCGCTTGGCAAGAGCAATAACAGAAGCGGCTTTGCCACCAGACTCCCAAAGCAGTAGGGCCCTGGGCCACTAGCAGTAGGACCCCACTGCCACTCAGGTCAGGGCCCCTCCCTGTTCACACCACTTCTACAAAATGGCAACTCCGCCTCCAAGGACCAAATCCAGCCCTGCCTGCAAGAGAAGCCAGGTTTGGTCCCCGAAGAGCCTGGCTGGAAAGCGCCCCCAGCAGGTGATGGCTCAGGTCATTGGTCACTGCCACCTACATGGAGACCTGAGTTCCTGGCTCTGGCTTGGTCCAGTCCTAGTGCGCCTCTCTCTCTCTCTCTCTCTCACACACACACACACACACATATATACACACACATACATTGCCTCTTCAATAAACAGAACAGAAAGTTGTTAAAAGACTGGAGTCTTGGAAGCAGTAGGTTTTGACTCAGTTCGTTGTGCCTCACAAAGCTGCGAGAGGAGTGAAAATGCGGCTATGATGTCACCCAGCTCTGACCGTCACACTTTGCACACGTGCACAGAAACAGCACGCCATGCTCCACGATACACTGTGTGTCAATTTAAAAAAATTAAAAATGTTACAAAATAATTATTGAACACCTATTATGTCCAAGGTGTTTTCTAGGCCCCAGAGGACTGTGGGAAACCCAAGAGAGAGGATTCCACTCCCCCCAACCCATGCAGACCATGGCCTTCCTTGGCGGTCACTTGGTACATGGGTAGCCACTTAGTGCTCCTGGCATCCATCGTGGGCGTTGCCCACAGGCAGTTGTGACACCGGGCACCAGCACCATCAGAGACAGGGGACAGAAGGCCTGGCTTTGCCCTCCAAGAGCTCACAACCTCACTGGGGAACTGTGTGTGCTCTTGAGGTCACTGGAAACCTCAGGAAGCCCCAGCCAGGCAAGATCTTGTGTGGTCAGCTTCACTGGGCCCCTAAATCCTGCGCTGTCACCTGGGGCCACCACTTCTGCTCAGGTGCAACCTTCCAGTTATTTCCTGATCTTGCAATAATGTCTTGTCTCCCAATTTGATTGTAAGTTCCTTCAAATAAGGGGTGTCATGATGTCATATCCAGTAGCCACTTTGCCTGCCCCCTGTACAGCCCCTGGTCCAGGTTAGTGCGTGAGTGGGTGTAGACATGAATGACCGCCACTGACAGCCATTTGGCACTGGGTCTCCTGATGAGACCCAGCCACGAAGCCCACCATGAATGAATTCTCTGGTTCAGGTAAGTAAAGAAGTGGGGAAGAACGGTTCTCTCCCAACTTAGGGCCTCTTTTTAGCTAAATGCTGCCCTCGGATTCCGAGTCTTTTCAATGGACAAACACCGAGAGGCCAGTCCGGAAGAGTGTGAACTTGACACAGAGCCGTTGGTCCTCTGCTTTCCTGTGAGTGCCCCTCAAGTGACTGGTCCAGCTGGTGACAGCTTGGCGGTTGATGTGGGCAAGTTGCCTCTCAGGATTTCCCAAATGACACGTGAGCTGACAGAAGTGTTGCCTCTTTCCGCTCTGGTTCCCAGCTCAGCCCTGGTGAAGCTCGCTCCTTCCCCGGGACAGTTCTACCAGAAGCGTCCTCACAGCCAGGGCATCAGGGCCTTGGCCTCCATCCACTGTGCTGGGCTGCTTGCTGCGATCTTGTGTGGCTAACGCTGGCTAGCTCTCTCATGTCAGGACCATCCGTGACCTGGGTCAACCCTGCGTGCTTTGAAGTTCGATGTGCAATAAAAAGTTCATTAAAAAAAATGTGGAATCAGGAAAATGAGGTCACAGAAATGTTAACAAAAGATCATTTCCTGCTTCCTGTGCTTTCCCTTTTATTTTTTTTTTCAAAAAATGTTTGTCTCTGGGGGATTTATGTCACCATTAAAAATGTAGAAGAGTTAAGGACACACTTGGGTCAAAAAGAGGCTGAAATGCTGAGGAGGTGTCTGGGCAGAGCCCCAGCCCGTTTTCTTCATCAAGAGCTCAGGGTTGAAGAGGGAGAACTTAACTCAAAAAGCAGGAAACAAATCTATAATTTTTGCGACCACTGATTTGAACGTATCATTTTTAGCAGAGATGAACCACAACAGCCCAGAGCTGTGCAGGGTCTGGGGCAATGTAAGAAACCCCATTCCAAGGTTCCAGCCCCAGGAGTTGGCAGGTGCCTCTTGTTCACTGTGGGAGGAGGAGGTGGGGGGGGGCACTTGCAGAGTATCAGCAGAACCGTCTCGTGGCACCGTCTTTGGTTGGCTTGCCCACTGCCACACTGGCTCACATTCCAGGCACGACCTTGTGACATGAGCAGGGGTCAAGAGCTGAGCCCCAAGGGCTGTCCCGGGAATGCCAGGCACTCAGAGCCCACTGTACTCCCGTCGAGACCTTAAGGTGTGCAAGGAGCCCCTGCGCCTGCACTGCTCCGGCCTGGCCCGGGCAGCAGCAGCCATTGGATGAGAAGGAAGACCCTCCAGGCTCACTCAAGTGCTGACCTGACAGTGACTGAGTGTGCCCAGACACCCAGAGCTCTGCCCGTCGTCCATGACGCTGGGCTCAAACTCCAGTGAGTAGCGGAGCTCGGCCAAACCACCCTCAGCCCCACCACGTGGCCTCCCGGGGGCCCAGGTCTCTTGTTTAAGGCTGAAGCGCCCTGGGTTATCATTCCTGGCAAGTACACGGTGGCTTCTCCAGTGACAGTGCCGTCTTCAGCTCCTGCATCTTTGTTCCCAGGCAGGCTGGCTCCTTCAGCAGGCACACACGCACTCACGCAAACACGCACACGCATGGGCTGGCTTAAGGTAGCCTAGGATGGAAACCGCGACATGAAGGGAGCTCCCTTTCTGGTCCCATCGCTATTTAAACCCCTCTCCTGTGCGGAGGCGCCTCCTTTCCCAGGTGTTTCGTGCCCACACAGCCCCAGCACCCTTGCTGGCCTCTATTTTAGGGAGCAAATATCCCAAGAGAGTCACATTACCACTTAATTACTGCTCGTGCTTAATAGTAAGCAATTAACATAATTCCTTACGCTTCAGCCAGAGGGTCACTGTGCACCCTCTGAGAAACCGCTATACCTTAGGTCTGACAGCGACAGGCCCTTAGCTTCCCGCGTGGCCACAAAGACCTCAACACACTGCGCGCTGACCGGCAATGCCGCAGGTCTGAGCGCGGCTGTGCACAGCCCCAGTCCGGTGCCCCGCGCCCGGGCGCAGGCGGCCTCACCCGCTCTCTTGTGATCCAGTCGTAGTTGAGTGTCATAATTTCTGCAAACCTCTGCTCGTAGAAGTAAAGCAGCAGCACCAGGTAGAAGCTGGAGTTGATCAGCTCGTTCTGTGCCTAAATAAGGAAAAGGAGGCTCCTGAGTTCAGCTGTAAAACATTCATGATCTGAATCACGGGGTGGGGGGTAACAAGGCTAAGGGGAACGAGAAATGGGCCAGGAGCCCAGGCTCCAAGGCCAGGCTGCCCTGGGGGATCAGGGGACAGAGCTGCAGGAGGACCAGGGTCGAGGCCAAGGCAGCCTGCCTCCTGCAGTTCTTTTTGTTTGAGAGAGAGAGAGAGAGAGAGAGAGAGAGAGAGAGAGAGAGAGAGAACTCTCATTTGCTGCTTTGCTACTCAAATGACTGCACCAGCCCTGGGCTGGGGGCTGAAGCTGGGATCTCAGAATTCAACCCAGGTCTCCCATGTGGGTAGCAGGGACCCAACTACTTGAGGAGCCAGGAATTCAATCCAGATCTCCTGCATGGGTGGCAGGAGCCCACCCTCTTGGGCCGTCACTCCTGCCTGTCAGGTCTCCATGGGTGGGAAGCTTCGGTCAGGAGCCTGAGCCAGGTGTGGAACCCAGGTACGCGGCTGCAGGGCGCGGCAGTCCTAGCCACGTGGCTGAACGCCACCGCACTCTAGCTGTGCGGTACCTCCTACAGAGCATGCGCTGGGCAAGTTCCATTTGCCAGGCTCCGTTGCATTCCACAGCCATTTAACGAGCGGTTACTGAGCAAAACCTTGAGCTGGGTGTTGTGGGGAGCACAGGGCGCTGCCAGGGGGGCACCCCGTCACCTGGTGTGGAGGAGCGAGCCTGGCCTGCGAAAAGCTTCGACATAGGCTGCACGCACTGTGGGCTGCAGTGGAGATGCAGCGGGAGAGCTTGGTTGAGCAGGAAGGCGGAAGGCTCCTCGGAGGAGGCAGTTTCTTCAGTTCCTTAAAGAACCTCCGTGGGCGGCTGGGGGGTGGCTGGGGGGGGTGGTGAGTGCCTTGCTGAGTCAGCGAACAGACAAGCGGTGGAGCAAGCTCAAGCCCCTCCTCACTGGGTGGCTGGGGTGAAGGGGGGGGCATTTGGTTTGGATTTTTAGGGAAGCTTTGGCACCGGTTGGGAAGGCAGTGAGGCGGGGACTGAGGAGCTGGGGACCAGGCTGTGTGTGTGGAGCTGCTGGTGCGTTTGAGGTGAGCGGGAAGCAGGAGATGTGTCTCCACGGAGCGTCGGGGACACAGGTGGCGTGGGCATGCTTTCTTTCGGGGACACAGGTGGCGTGGGCATGCTTTCTTTCGGAGACACAGGTGGCGTGGGCATGCTGTCTTTTCCTGGGTCCCTTGTTTGCCCAGAGAAAGGGCTCCGGCCTTAGTTCTGTACGTTTCTCCCATTATGACTGGGCTTACCGCGGGCCTCTCCTAGGGCCCCTCTCTCCTTGCTGCTGGTCTGTGGCCATTTCACCTCCAGAGAGTTCTCCCAGGCTCTGGGAGCCACAGGGCCTTTGCTCATGCTCCTCCGTCTGCTGTTTTCATGCACTTGTTTTGAGTGCTCCCCCCGGCCCTGCCAGGCTGTGTATCAGTCTCGTCGTTCCTTTGTTCTCGGACCCCTGGCGCTGTTCCTCGGCTTTGTCTTGGGCCCTGGGCTGTGTTTTCTTTTCCTCAATGGTGCTGCCAAGGGAGGCTTTGGCCATCAGGCTGGCCACGGCACTCTGTCCTCACCCCTGGGGCCCTGCTTGGACCTTCAGTAAGCCAGCAGCAGAGGAAGGAGGGGCGGCCTTTGAGCCCCTCCCTGGCCCAGGACAGATCCCTTTGGGTGGGTGGGAGCTTGAGAATGGGCCAGACTGGGCTCCAAAGCCACCCAGCCCCAGGGACTGAATCCCCAGCAGAGGACAGGGACAGGTCAGCGCCATGACGGTGACCGTGACTCCGCGCTCCCAGGATGACGGTAGTGGACTCAGCTCCCCTTCCTCCTCCCTCCTGCAGCCACCGCCAGCTTCCCTGACTTGTTTCTCTGTTCCCAACGTGGCTCTAGGGCAGCTCAGGCAGGCGGTCCAGAACCCACCCCTTGCAGGACCAGGGAGCGGCCAGGAAGGGCGAGGGAGTCGAGCGAGGATCCTCTGACCGGGGCCAGCTCCGGATCTCAGCCGGCTGCGGGTGCCCTGCTCCGGCTTCTCCACTGTCGCTAGACCCGTCTTGGAAAATCCATCTTGTCCTTAGCACTTCGCCTGCTATTTTTAGCCTTCCATGGCAGGGTTTCCTCTGTTCAGCCGGCCCTGGCAAGCAGAGGGCCTATGGCTTGTTCTTGATTCTGTTCGAAGTACCTCTCCCACCCTCCGGGCTGGGACTCTTTTAAAGACTGTTCCCCACCCCCACCCCACCTGGCTAAGCCACCTCCTAACTGGCCTGTCCCTCAGGGGCTTTCCTGAGCCCAGGCATCCCCCAGCCCGCCCACGGTCTTCCTGCCAGGAGCTGGGGTGCACAGAGCCACTCTGAGGCGCCATGGCAAATCACTGGCTGGAGACAGGCTTGGGACGCTCAGGTTTGTCCAAGCATTCGGGGAAATCATTGACTTTTTTATGACTCAATAAAGCCGGGAGGCACGCAGATGGGAAAAAATCCACTAATGTTTTCTGCAGATAATTTGAGAAGCCACTGCTAGCGGATCCTGTCTGTTTTCTGGCCTGTGGGAGGGAACCTGTCACGTGGGCGGCTCCGCTGCTCTGTGCTCTGAGCTCCGGATGCTGCCGTCGATTGGAGCTGGCGTTCGTGTGGCTACTCCGGCTACTCTGAGCTGTCTGCACGCCGCGCCACAAGTGGGAGGGCCTGGCCAACGGAGGGAGCGCCATGAAATTTGTTCAGCAAGGGTTGAGCGAGCCAGATTCTGGAACATTCTTTAGCTGGAGGACCGCAGCCCAATCGCATCACATTCTGAATCCGCTTTGTGCGCTACAGGAGACTTCTGCAGAGCCCCGCCCGCCCGCCCACCAGCTGCATGTCTCTCCTCCTGCTCCCTACGTTTCTCTTAATGTTCGTTTTAGACAAGAGATTTGACGCTGATGGAAATTCTCAGCATCCGGGGAAGCACTGGAAGAAGCTGTCAGCCTGGATGAATACTGGAGCCTTCGAATGTGCTGGAGAGCCGCTGCCGACTCTGAGGGCGATCGGGTGCCTGTGTGCGGCCAAGGACACCTGTCCTGGGCTGAGACGCGGCAGGGGCAGCCCGGGCCTGCTGAGACCCTCGTGCAGGGCGTGGCGAGGCCTCCGGGAGCATCTCTCCAGCAGGCGGAGGGCATGCCAGGTGCCAGGTGAGGTGGGCAGCCTGGGGCCAGTGAGCGTGGTGATTTGGGGCAAAGCACGTGAACTGTGCAGGGCCACAGTGACCGCACGCCTGTGGGCAGGAGTGGCCTCTGCCAGGCGTGGTGGTAAAATGAGCTGACACTGATGCGTGTGGTGTTCCACAAAGCAAACATGTGCTACCAGAGCCGAGGGAGGGAGGGTGCGGGCGAGTTGCTTGCACGGAAGATGTGTGAAGGCGAGGCCTGCGTCTTGGTCACTCCTGCACCCCCAGTGCCTCGCCCAGTGCCCCGTGTGCAGTGCATGTTCCATAAACATAAGCACAGATGGGAAAACGAGAGAAACTCGTGCGAGTTTAGATCAGACAGTGGCTTATTCAGCTACTTAAAAAGTATATGTGGGGCCGGCGCTGTGGCCTAGCGGGTAAAGCCGCCAAGTGCAATGCCAGCATCTCATATGGGCACTGGTTCAAGTCCCAGCAGCTCCACTTCCGATCCAGCTCTCTGCTATGGCCTGGGAAAGCAGTAGAAGATGGCCCAAGTCTTTGGGCCCCTGCACCCACGTAGGAGACCCGGAAGAAGCTCCTGGCTCCTGGCTTTGGATGGGCACATTTCCAGCTCTTGCAGCCAACTTGGGAGTGAACCAGCAGATGGAAGACCTCTCTCTCTGCCTCTCCTCTCTCTGTGTAATCTTTCAAATAAATAAATAAATAAATAATTTTTAAACAAAAAGTATATGTATGTATTTGAAAGGCAGAGAGAGAGAGAGAGGGGACACATCCATTTGCTAGTCCACTCCCCAGAGAGTTGCACCAGCAGGGCCAGGTCAGCCTGAGCTTGAGCCTGAGCCAGCGCCAGGTGCCAGGAACTCCATCCTGCACTCCATGTGGGTGGCAGGCGTTCTGGCCGCTATGTGCTGCCTTCCCATGTGCATTAGCAGGGAGCTGGATCAGAGCAGGGACAGCCAGGACTCTCAACTGGTGCTGCCATATGGGATGTTGGCATCACAAGCAGTGGCTTAGCCCCCTGTGCCACAGGGCTGGGCCCTCAGCCACAACTCTCAACCCCAGAGGCCTAAGCACGGTGGAGAGGCCCTTTGAAAACACAGCTCCCTGTCCCTGCTCCCCAGTTCCCGCGTTTCCTGCTCGGTGGCTCCAACTGCTCCAGGGGCAGCACCAACGGTTGGTGGCCAGTGACCGGCCTGGGGCTGCGCTCTGGGTAGATGGAAGGTAGGAGCATTGGAGATCTGAAGGTCGGGGCGAGCGTGCGCTGTTTTGCCACAGTTGCCACCACCCTCCGTTGCACGGTACCAGAAGATTCTGATCTCTCCTTTGCGGCACTCGCTCTGCCCTTGGTTCAGCCCTAGTTGCTCACCCCTCTGGAGTGGGCTGGCTTCCGTTTCCTGCCGAGGCCCCAGCGGACACAATGACTTCATAGAACGTGCTGGTAGCCAGTTCTCAGCGGTGCGATGCAGCGAGGCCAGGGTGTGTCTCCGGGGTGGCCCGGCTGAGTTTGTCCAGTGGAGGACTCTGGCTTGGTCCCGGGGGGTCCGTGGTTTCCTCCCTCGAGCGCCAGCGGAGAGGTGTGTCTGGGGCCGACCGGGGCAGTCTCACCGCCGAGAGCCTTCTCTGCAGGCCCTGTGTTCGTGGGCGATGTACTTGGGTCTCCTCTGTCCACCCCTGCAAGTGGGAATCATCCCTGCTTCCTGCAGACGGGGGGGCCTGAGCCCAGGGTTTCACGTTTCCTCAAGGTCACACAACAACTTTGGATTTCAGGTCAGCTCTCCTGCTTCTCAGTGGGACAGACTGCCTGGGGCTGTGGGCGTGCGAGCGGGATGAGCTGCTACCCGGCCAGCTACACAAAAACTGCAGGTAGAACTGTGCCTGGTGGCAGCAGCTGGGCAGGAGACCAGCGCGGAAATGCTTGGGGGCCTTTACTAGACAAGGCAGACCCGTGGGCGCCGAGGCCAGTGGGCTGCCTGTGGTGTGCTCTGGCAGCAGCATTCTGGTCAGAGCCTCAATGGGACGAGGAGTCCCTGTCCCCTTCCTCTGCCTTCTCCTCCTCCTCTTTTTTTTTTTTTTTTTTTAAAGATTTATTGATTTGAAAGAGTTACGTATAGATAGGGTGAGACAGAGAGAGGTCTCCCATCTGCTGGTTCCCTCCCTAGATGGCCATAATGGCCAGGGCTGAGGCAGGCCGAAGCCGGGGTCCAAGAGCTTTAAGTATTTGTTCTACAATATTCACTTATTTATTTGTTTGAAAGAAAGAGTGACACAGAGAGAGGGAGAGGGCGATGGATCTTCCATCCACTGGTTTTCTCCCCAGATGGCCACAGCAGCCAGAGCTGGGGCAGGCTGAGACCAAGGACCCAGTGAGGGTCTCCCATGTGGGTGTCAGGAACTCAGGCACTGGAGCCATCATCCGCTGCTTCCCGGGCGCATCAGCAGGCAGCTGGACGGGAAGCAGAGCCTTGGTTCCTGAGAAGGAAGAGGTACCGCTTCACTCTGCCTTTGTATAGGGAAGCTATGGTTTCCTCTGCTTCCTTCAGGACTTTTTCTTCACCTTTGCTGTTTTTCATTGTCTCTTAAATGTGTCCTGGTGGCGTTCCTTCAGCATTGTCCTGCCCGGTGTTTGCTGAGCTTCCCGGGTTTGTGGTTTGGTGAGTGACATTAATTTGAGGTAAATCCTCAGTCGTTGCTTTAAATATACCCTCTGCTACTTTCTTTTTCTTTTCCTTCTGATGTTCCCATCACACGTGTTCTGCCTTTTGTAGACTCATGCCACAGTTCCAGCATATTCTGCATTTTTTTTTCTATTTTTTTTCTCTTTTATTTATTTATTTTGACAGGCAGAGTGGACAGTGAGAGAGACAGAGAGAAAAGTCTTCCTTTTGCCATTGGTTCACCCTCCAATGGCCGCCACGGCCAGCGCACCGCGCTGATCCAAAACCAGGAGCCAGGTGTTTCCCCTGGTCTCCCATGTGGGTGCAGGGCCCGAGCACCTGGGCCATCCTCCTCTGCACTCCCGGGCCACAGCAGAGAGCTGGACTGGAAGAGGAGCAACCGGGACAGAATCTGGCACCCCGACCGGGACTAGAACCCAGTGTACCGGCGCCGTAGGCGGAGGATTAGCCTAGTGAGCCACAGCACCGGCCCTCTTTGCTTTTCAGTTGTGGCACTGAAAATATTCTTAAGCTTAGAGTTCTTTTCCTCAGTGGTGTCCAGTCTACTAATAAGCCCATCAAAGGCTTTCCTCATTCCTGGCCTCTGAAGCCAGGAGCTGGGAGTTCCAGCCGGGTCTCCCATGTGGGTGGCAGGAACCAGCTGAGCTATCATCTGCCATCTCCCAGGGTGCACCTGAGCAGGAAACTGCAGCAGAAGCAGAGGTGTGACTCGAACCCAGCACTCTGACACGGGAGCAGGTGTCCCGAGCACCCACCCACCTCTCTGCTTGCGCATGCTCTCTGGTTACTCAGAGTTCTTAGCCTGTTAATCACTCTTGTTGTACATTGCTGCTTGTGTTAATGCCAACACCCCTGCCGTATCTGAGTCTGGTTCTGATGTTTGCTCTGTGGCTTTTTTTTTTTTTTTTTTTTTGTCTTTTAGTATGCCTTGTATTTTTAACTTAATTTTACATTTTTGGCTGGGTTCCAGGCACGCTAGGAACAGGTCTTTGGTAACGTGGTGGCAAGGGCGCTGGGGAGGTTCAGACGCATTCTGCAGCCCTCCGTGCCTCTGGGCTCTGAACGGCGCACACACTCCCCAGTCCCCACTCTAGATGGCTGGGGCAGGGGGCCGGGCTTGGATCCCCCTTCTCCCCACTACTGACGAGACTTCAGCAGGCTGGAGTCTCTCCCAGGCAGGCCTCGTCAAGAACAGAAGGCCCTGGCTCTGTGCGGATCAGAACGGTCCCTTGCCCCGCCCCTTGCCTGAACTATGAGTGGATCGTTCTCAACACGCACCCTAGGAACCTGGAGATAACACTCCAGCAGGGCCGTGGCTGGTCCACACTGGCTGGGCCTCTGGCGATTCATTAGTGCCTGCTCCGCTGCCTCCCAGGGCTGGGGCCCCCGGCAGCAGGCTCAGGTTAGGGGCTCCCTCCGCCCTCGGCCTCTCCCGCTGCAGGTGCAGCAGCCTGTCCTGGGCTGCATGTTCAGTTTGCCCAGCTTTTCACTCGTTGTTGGGGCGGAGTGGTGACCTCCCCGCTCCTTCCATGAGGAGGTGGAAAGTGTTGAGTCTCTGGCACTCAGGGTGTACTTACATAGAATTAAGTGATATTTCACATTCTTTTTTTGGGGGGGGGCATTGGGTCTTTGAAATTCGGTGCTTTTTCCACACACCACATGTGCAGGATCAGAACTCGCCATCTGCTCAGCAGCCCCATGTGGACTGTGGGTTCTACACTGGACAGTGTAGTTCTAGAAGAAAGGTTTTCTTTTGTGGCGTAGTAGGTGAAGCTGCCGCCTGCAGTGCTGGCATCCCATATAGGCACTGGTTCTAGTCCTGGCTGCTCCACTTCTGATCCAGCTCTCTGCTGTGGCCTGGGAAAGCAGTAGAAGATGGCCCAAGTGCTTGGGCCCCTGCATCCACGTAGGAGACCCGGAAGAAGAAGCTCCTGGCTCCTGGCTTTGGATTGGCCCAATTCCAGCCATTGCAGCCATTTGGGGAGTGAACCAGCAGATAGAGGTTCCCCTCCCCTCCCCTCCCCTCCCCTCCCCTCCCCTCTTCTCTTCTCTTCTCTTCTCTTCTCTCTCTCTCTCTCTCTCTCAAATAAATGAATCTTTAAAAAAAAAGTTTTCTCTTTTTTTGGTTTGAGATTTGGGTGATGAACTATTATGACCTTGGCATGACTCGCCTTCATGAGGCTAGCTAACTTCTTCACAGCACTGGAAATGCAACCCAAATGCCCCAGAGAGTGAACTCACTAGGTGTGACGCGCACAGTCGGCACTTACTACACGCTTACTACTGTTAGGGTAAACAGTTCCTTAGTACTCCAGAGTTGCCTGATACTTGAATTGGGAGCCCTTTCTGCCAAGACCCTGAGCTACTCTCTCTTATTGCTATTGAACTTCATTTATTCCAGCAAATTCAGGCGCCCGGAGCTCACCAGGCTCTGCTACTTCCGTGTGTCCAGCTGGCTGCTGGAGCTTCCCACTTCCGGCCCTGACAGCAGAGAGGCCTCCACCCAGGACAACCCAGGCCTTCCCACGGCAGTGAGCTAAGTGGACATTCCTGGAGTCAGGGCGCCCGCAGGCCTTCTGCATTCCTTAGATTACAGAGTTCCCTGAGTTCCCCGGCCTTGCCCACTGCACCGCGGGGGCAGGGTGAGGGTGTGCACTCCTTACCCGGATTTGCTGGTGCTTCTGGTAGAACTCAGTCATGTTAAAGGCAGCCAGGTCGACCAGCAGGTCGTGCTTGCACATCTCACAGGTATTCACAGCTTCCCGGTTCGCTCCTGAATCAGATGCAGAAGTGTGGGTGAGACCGTCGGTCCCCCGTGCTCTCCACACACACACACGCACGCACACACACAATTATACGTTACATATAGCCCTGCATCTATTTGTGGCGGCGCTCTGGGTAGGTGATATTTTGAGAGTGACCTTGTATAATTCTGAACTTCAGTGACTTTCATGGAAAGCCCGTCATCTTCTGTAGAAAATGACCTTGAATCTGAGATCTGAAAATTTTCCTTTGTAATCATTATGCAAGCCTCATATGAGTGAAATTCCCATGACTTCTAAATAACAGGTCTTGCTTTCTATTTAAATAAAAACATGATGGTTCATAAAATTGGAATTGCTACACAGAAGCTAAGAGTCTGTACCACAGGTGTTTGTTAAGAGAATAAACATTGGGTCTATGGTAATTTTTTTTCCTGTAGACCTGACATAGACCCAGGTAGATTTGTGAGGACTAAATGGATGGTAGAATCTATCCTCAATCAGCGGCTTAAAAATCTGCCCTTGCTCCCACCCTGTGGCCATTCCCAGCCGAGAAAACAAGACAGGGGCCACGTGTGGGTGCCAGTTACCGCCACCCAGGGCAGGTCTCCAGCCTGAGCCTGGCCTCATTCAGGCAAAGAGGCGGGAGAAGGCTTCCCTTCTCGCTGCCTTTTACAAAGACACATCGTGGAGCAGGGCTTTTCTCTCCACTCATCCCATTCCCCAGTGCAAAAGTGGTGGAGACAGAACCGTGGCTATCACGTCTAAGCAGCACACACCCGACGTTCTCCTACTGCAGACTGAAGGGGTACCGGCATTTATTTTATGCATTTGGAAATAGAGGACTTATTAGTTATTTGGTAAAGATAGGGCTTGTTCATTTTTATACTTTAGCTCTGTTTCTCCACTGGGTACATCAAGAAATAGTAAATAATAGAGATGTCTAAAGGGCAAGGATGCACAGCATCTCCTATCTGCATTTTGTTGCCTTTTTTTTTTTTTTTTTTTAAGCAGCATCCTGCAATGCTTTTGGCTACTGGATGCCCCATGTGCTGAGCTGGGAGCACACCCATACTAGCCCAGGCATTTACAGCATGCGGCGTCATTTCATGCCATACTTCTTGGAGAGGATTTCTGTCCTCGGCGTCTGGCTGGCCCACATTCCCAGCAAAGCAGAGCCTTCTACAGCAGAGTCATTAGCCACCCAGACCCACTCGTTTCTTTGCCTCTGCAGCAAGTGCTTTGCTTGCTGTGTGGTGCACTTGGAGCGTGTCGGGCAGTGGTCCGAGGTTTCTCCTGCTAGGCAAGGGGCCTGCAGGGAGACAGAGCTTCAGGGACCGGGCCGTCAGCATGCCGGTTACCCCAGGCCTTCCCTCTCTGAGGAGCCAGAGCGCAGTCCTGGGGGAGGGCACAGGCTCGAGCTCCAGGTCTCCCAGGAGAATGTGCAAGAGACAGGAACGCTCAGGGAGCGTCTGACAGCAGCACCCTCTCCCGTCTCTGAGCTGTGCGCGCCGACGTCCCTGGTCTTTGCAGGAGTTGCTCTGGTTCCTAGTCAGGTTTTAAAGAATCATTCTATTTCTGCCAAGAGCACGGCCGACCCGGGGACGTGGCTATATTTAGATGACAGGCTCCCCAGGGAGCCGACAAGGGGCTTCACAGCCAGGTGTAGGCTTGTCACAGAACTCACAGAACCAGCGTGTGGAAACCTTTGTCTACCATGGTTCTGGAAAATCAGATCATAGCTCTTTCCTTACCCCTCCTGCAAAAAGGCAGCTTCGCCGACTTCCTTCCAGGACACTCGTCCCCCTGCCCCCAATAAAAGGAAGCCGGGAGGCGGTGGGCAGGGCCTATCACGGTGGACCCTGGGACGCCCTTTGCGGGTGTCCAGCCGCCACCGCCTGCTGGCCTCGCTCCAGCCGCTGGCCAGCTTCTTACACATCCGTCCTCCCAGGAGGCGACCTTTACCTCTCTGCTCAGGCCTCAAGCAGCAAACATTTCCAGGATTCTTCTCTCGGGGCCTCCCCACTCCCATCCCACACCAAAAACCCACCAGCGCAAGGACAGCGGCCGTAAGCAAGAGCACTGAGCTCGGCCGCTTCCGAGGCTGCGAAGCCCCGCCCTTGGGTCTCAGTCCACCTGACATCGGGGTCGCTGCCCCCCCCCCCCCCCCCCCCCGCTACCTACCTGACGTGATTTTCACTTTCAGCCACTGTTTCAGGCACTCTTGGTGAACAAATCGCAGGCTACCCACACAGCCGCAGGGCTGCAGCAGGGGGTTGGCGGGGGAACTCCCGGCCATCTGACAGATGCGACACAGGTCTCCCTCCTCCTCCTCGTCCTCCTCCAGGAGACTGAAGGGAAAAGAAGCCCTTGTGACCAGGGGTCTCCACATGCACCTTTTCTTCGTGGGGGAGAAGGCGGAGCGGGACTTCAGGACCCGCCCCTTGCACCTGCTGGCCCTGCTGAGCCGTCCACCACGTGCGGCTGATGACAATTACACACGGCCTCTCGTAGAGAGCTCCCGACAGTTACTGCCATGAGGATGCTTTCAACAAGTTTATGGGAAATGGGATTTAAAAATACGCTTCTTTGGGGGCAAAAATGTTGAAGCCCACGCCCCAGTTTCTCACAATATGCATGTTTCCATGAACTGTCTGAAGGCCCTCATCCCAGGGAGATCAGCTCTCCTTTCACACATCAAAGAGGCGGGAGGCTGAGATAAAGGCCGGGAACCCCTCTCCCTGCTGTCGCCACCGCGAGGGAGTTGGTGGCGTGGAGGATTCGTGGCCAGCGGGTCTGGCTCTGAGACCTGCCTCTGGGACGTGCACGCACGTCCTGTGACCTTGGACAAGCTCCTTAGCCTTCCTAGGGCTCTGCCTGTTAACGGAGGCCCCCGGGCAGGAGCAGGTTCGGGTGCACGGTGGATGAGCGAGCCTCCGTCTGAGCTCCCCAGGCGCTCAGTCCCTCCGACACACAAGGCGGGCGTTCTGGGACGGCGCTGCTGCGCGCTGAGGACAGAACGCGTGGATGTGCAAGCGAGGACCCTGGCGTCTGCCGAGTGTAAGTGACGAAGCACTGGCTCATGGTCGTGTGGGGAGCCTCAGGCTCCCCCCATCCCCTTAGAACCCTTATGGGACTGGTGACAGGTCAAGGAAAGGAAACTGACCCAGGACCGACACCAAAGGAGAGGAAGAAGGGACTGGCACTGTGGCACAGCAGGTGAAGCCGCCACCTGCAACCCTGGCAGCCCATATTGGAGTGCCTGTTCGATTCCTGCTACTCCGCTACTGATCCTGCTCCCTGCTAATGTGCCTGGGGATGCAGCAGAAGATGGCCCAAGTGCTTGGTCCCCTTCCACTCAGGTAGGAGACCTGGATGGAGTTCCTGGCTCCTAATTTCAGCCTGGATCCACTACAGCTGGTTGGGGAGTGGACAGTAGATGGACAATCTCTCTCTCTCTCTCTCTTTCTCTCTGTCTCTGTCTCTCTCTGTCTCTCCACGCCCCCCACCCTATGTGTCACTCTGCTTTTCAAATAAATAAATAAATAAATAAACATTTATTTAATGGCTCATGGAAAAATGGAGAGGAAGACACAGGTACCGCTCTGGATAGAAACACAAGCTCAGGCTCTGGAGAGATTGTCTTCCCCAGAAAGAGCTCACTGGAAAGGCGCAGACCTATCCGTTTCCGTTATGGACATGGTGAATAATTTAAGAATATTTTCAACACTGAGATTTCAATACATTTCAAGGGGCCAGTGCTGTGGCGTAGCAGGTTAAGCTGCCATCTGCAGCACTGGCATCCAATATGGGTCCCAGTTCAAGTACTGCCTGCTCCACTTCAGATCCAGCTCCCTGCTGTGGCCTGGGAAACAGCAGATGGCCCAAGAGCTTGGGCCCCTGCACCCATGTAGGAGACCGAGAAGAAGCTCCTGGTTTCTGGCGTTGGCCTGGCTCAGCCCTGGCCGCTGTGGCCATTTGGGGGAGTGAACCAGGGGATGGAAGAACTTTCTCTCCCTCTCCTTCTCTCTCTGTAACTCTGCCTTTCAAATAAATAAATAAATAAATAAATCTTTAAAAATACACTTCAACATAATTTCCCACATGTTCATAAATAATCTGGAAGAACAGGTACATGGTGGAGGAGATGCCAGATCCAGCTCTCTGCTATGGCCTGGGAAAGCAGTAGAAGATGGCCCAAGTCCTTGGGCCCCTGCACCCACGTGGGAGACCCGGAAAAAGCTCCTGGCTCCTGGCTTTGGATCAGCCCAGCTCCAGTCATTGCGGCCATCTGGGGAGTGAACCAGCAGATGGAAGCGCTCTCTCTCTCTTTTTCTCTCTTTGCCTCTGCCTCTGCCTCTCTGTAACTCTGGCTCTCAAATAAACAAACAAAATCTTTAAAAAAAAAAAAAAAGAAATAGACTTGAAACACTGAAATAAGACATTTTAAAACATCATGAACCAAAGTTTACTGAAAGTTGCATTCGTATGCAAAGATAAAAGTTCTTCACAGTGCTCAAGTCTGGATGATAGGGTGACAGGTCATTTTCCTTTTAACTCTATATTTTTAATCTTTTCTAAAGTAAATACTTTTGAAATAAGAAAAGCATAATGTTTACTATATACAGGAAAAAGAGAGCATTTGTTAAACGAAGTCCTACACAAATAAGCTATTCAGTGCATCGCCACGCCTTCAAGTGGGGGCATTTTGAAGGAAGCTATTTTCGGCCTGCAGGGATCACTCTGGGTGGTAGAAGCCCAGAGCCTGACACGCAGGTCTGAAGCTGACTTTTGGGGTGAGGAAGGTTTGAGGTCTTAGCCCTTAAGTCCGGGCTGGTCTTCTGGCAGCTTGTTTAATATGGGGAAGAAAAAGAACTGCTAAGTAGGAATTTGCTCCATTTTTAGGTTGGAGGAAAGACTGTGTAGAAATACGTGTGGGTTCTCTGTTCCACTTTCTCCTCCTTTTTACATTTCTAAGTCATTGTCATGGAATTTCCCCACCTACAAAGGAACATCAAGAGGATAACGAATGGCCCAGTCCAGGAGTCAGTTTCCTGATCTGTAAGCCACGGATCATAAAAAGAAATGGTAGAATCCTGACCTGGCGATTAGTGATGGCTTTACAAAAGATCACATTTCATAGCTGCGAAACAGCCCGACGTCATCTCGTGAGAAAGGAAAGATCAAAGAAACGGGCCACCGAGAAACGATCTTCTTTCTCTCCCCTCTCATGAGAAACGGCAGCGCTAGGGCGGCGGCAGTGGCTACCCCACCGCTGCCCTTCAGAGATCAAGGTAACTATGGCAACTGGGGACAGCCTTTTAGTGGGGAAGGTTCAAATTCTAGAACTGGTGAGGGGGAGCTGTGAACTTCAAATGCTGAATGGTTGGCTCTGGGGAGACAGCAACCTTTCCATAGAAAATCTTGACTCCCAATTGCTGGTGAGAAGAGTTAGCTGTAGGTGACAGACAGGAACCCCTACACCTAGCAAAGGTGCCCTACCTAAAGATGTGGTATTCAGGGAAAAACCCTTTGGGAACACTGAGGAGACTGAACCGGCACACCAAACTTTTCCTTATATATACCGATACTCATATTTTAAGAACAAAAAAAAAATAGCTTGTTCTCAAAAGAAGCAATCGTTAAATGTCAAGGGAGGGTCTATTTATGATTCAAAATTCTCATGACTCTGATGAGAGCAATGCTTATCTCAGCATTGGAATAATGGGAAAAGTGTGTGTGTGTGTATATATATATATATATATCCCCACATATGCATAGATAGCTACACGGATTCCTCACCTTTCTTGCAGTTTCCTGAGCTTCTCAGGGTCTACTTGTATCTTAGGGGCCTCCTCTTCATCTGCGAGACCAGAGGCCGCCATTCTAGTCCTGTTCTGGCTTTGATTTAGGAAATAAGACACTGTAGATAAAGCAAAATGTATATTTTCTCGCAGGGACCCAGGCAAATGCAGGTGGTCTTGGAAACTCACTCTTGACGGAGAGGAGATGGGAGAGTGCAGCAGAGGCAAGCTGTCTGGAAGACTTGGCAGGGGGTTTTCTACGCTCGACGGAGCCTCCTGAGCTTGGCTTGCTGAGGTGACATCCTCTGCTCCCCTGACATCAGACTCACGTGCACTGGCCAACGGAATTCTATTTCTAATGGGGGACAGTGGTTGGCGAACATTAAACCTTGCGTTTCCCTCCGTGTCGGATCTGCGAACCAGCGTAGGTGACATTGACAAGTCTACTGGGACATCAACCCTCAGATGATGTGTTGATGATCGCGCCGTGTTACAGGGTGAGTTCAGTGATGACCTTGGGACTGTCGGTCTACCGGCAAGAGAGAAGTCAAGGGAATGTCTAGAACTGTTTAAATAGTCTTGCCAGTCCCTCTCATGGTCATGGGTATCAGGTTTGTCGTCCATAGAAACAGAATCGCTGGATACATTTTCCACCCTGCGACGGTCATCTTGTCTGGATTCAGATTTGCTGTCCCATGAGCGGAAGGTCTTCTTGTTCTCGCTGCTGTCACTGTCATTCTCTGTAGCAGACTCCCCACTGGGCAGCCAGGGATCTGGGAGCATCCTTTGCCCGAGAGAAGGCTGCCCTGCCTCTGGCTCCACTGCACTGAGTGTTCTTAATAAGCCAGGGCTGGGCTCGCGTCTTCTTAAAGAGTTTCCTTTGTGATTTTCAGCACTGTTGGAAAAGTGTTTGTTTTTGGACAGAGAGGCCGACGTCCCAAGACACCGACTTCTTCTGTGACTGGAGGGAGAGCGAGGCGGGTGCAAACCAAGCAGCGGGAGCTCTTCTTCGTGGGTCTCTTCCTCCGTGTCGTAAGGGTCTCTGGCAGCGTTTGGCGATAGCACGGAATAAAAGTCCTCGTATCTGAACCTGAACTGCGTCCTCCTTGGCCCTCCCGTGGCGCTGGGTACGAGCGAGGGCCACAAGGACTCACCCAACACTTGGGGACTCTTTGTTCCCTGGAAGGCCTGGGACAGGGCTGGCTGTGGCTTGTTCTGAGCGACGGCGCTCGGGTCTCCCCTTTTGGCTCTCTCCAGGGGGTTCTCGGGGGTTGCCATCAGCTGCGAGGTGGGCACCAGGCATCTCCTCTCTTGGGTTGGCCTCTTCACCATAGTTCCACCTGCCCACACCTGGCTTTCTCGGTGAACCACTGGATCTGCATTGAGAAAAGACGAGTGTATCCTTTTATCAAAAGTGCCCACAGATGGAAGCTCTTTAAAATACCACGCGATAGAGTCCATGAAAGGCAACAAACAAGTCCCTGGGGGAGAAAATACTCATGGGCCACGGGCCACAGGCCACGGGCCACACGGCCAGCAGGAGCCCAGCGCAGAGGCCCGCAGTCCGCTGCCTTTGGATCCTCCTCTGGGAGCCGGTGCGGCTCAGGCTGGCTCTGGTGAGCCTGCGGACACAGCTGCTTTCTGCAGAAGCTCCCGGGAGGTCGATCCAGCCCCAGGCCAAGCCGGGCTGAGCATGGGGAGGCCTCTCACTACACGCTGGTTTTCAGTATGTGTTTATGGAAAAGGAACACCAGCACGCCTGGGATGCTTCTGTAAAGTCCACCAGCCCCAAATCATTCAGTGTGCATTTAGGACAACCCTGCTGCATGCACAGTGTCACAAAAACTTAAGAAAGTATAATCTGCAGGCGATGTGGTGGTGTAGCGGGCTAAGCTTCCACCTGCAACACTGGCATCCCATATGGGCGGTTTGTGTCCCAGCTGCTCCACTTCCGATCCAGTTCCCTGCTAATGGCCTGGGAAAATCAGCGGAAGATGACCCAATTGTTTGGGCCACTGCCACCCATGTGGGAGACCCGGATGAAGCTCCTGACTCCTGGCATTAACCTGGCCCAGTGCTGGCTGTTACAGCCATCTGGAGAGTGAACCAGCAGGTAGAAGATCTCTCTGTGTTTCTCCCTCTCTCTCTGTAACTCTTTCTTTTTTTAAAAAAAAAGATTTATTTTATTTATTTCAAATACAGAGTTACAGAGAGAGGGAGAGACAGAGAAAGGTCTTCCACTCCCCACTTGGCCGCATCAGCTGGAGCTGCGCCAATCTGAAGCCAGGAGCTTCCTCCGGGTCTCCCATGTGGGTGCAGGGGCCCAAGCACTTGGGCCATCTACTGCTTTCCCAGGCCATAGCAGAGAGCTGGATCGGAAGAGGAGCAGCCAGGACTCAAACCGGTGCCCATATGGGATGTCGGTGCTTCAGGCCAGGCATTAACCTGCTGAGCCACAGCAGGTTTCAAAATAAATAAATAAATCTTTAAAAAACAAATGAAGAAAGAGAAATATACTCTGTCTTGGCAGATTGGGAGGAAGGCTGGTGCTAGACACACTGATGATTTGGGCCAGGCTAACTAATATCTGCAAATAAAAATTACACACCGCTCAGGAAACGATGGTCGCCCCTTTGTCCCTGCCCCTGGTCAGTTTGTTAGCTCTGGCTGGCACAGGTTCCCCCTCCCCCACTCCCCTCCCAGTTGCGTAGGAATTCCTATCGGTGAGATCACATATTCAAAATGTGCCTCATAAAAATAATGAATGGCCACTACTTACTGCGGGCGTACACGGAGCAGGCAAAAGCCACGCCAGCTGCATCGCACACACAGTGAAGTCTCAGAGGCCTATGAAATAGCCACCAGTCATCCTGCATTATAATCAAGGGAGTGCGGCCCAGGGAGGCCAATAGCTGGCCCCAGATCAGATTTCCAGTAAGTGATGAACATTTGAACCCAAGCCTGCTTGATGCTAGGGTTTGTACTCTTAACCACCGTCCCGGGTTATCCCTTAAGCAATGGGCTGGACTGCCAATTTCCTCGTGAAATTGAGGCTCTGTGGAATCTGTCATGATGTGTGTGTGCTCTGAGCATTCCCTAGCCTGACGGTGTGGGTACACAACAGGAAGTCTTCCTCTGATTCCATGTTCCTTCGCCGCCTGCCCCCCAAATCCGCCAGCCCCTTCCCCTCCCTGCATCTGCAGGACTCCATGGGGGCCGGAAAGATCTGGGTGCTAGCATCTCCTCCGGGGGAAAGCAAACTTGGGAGCGTGGGGCCCTGGCCAGGGCGCAGTCGGTGCTGACTCAGGTAGTCCAGGGGAGCACGTGTTCTGGTCTCTACTGCCCTCTCACCCTGTAAGCTCCTGTTGCTAACTGTGTGGGGCACTGGGCAGCACAGTGTGGACCTGCACTCAGCAGCTCTCCCAGACATCGGTCAAACTCTGCTCTGAGGCCCCAGGGCGTCAGCAGCTCAGGGGTGCTTTGCCCACTGGGCTGTGTCTGCACAGAGTGGAGCTGGTGGGGCCCACAGCGGGCTGGTCCACATTTCAGGGAGCAAGTGCTGGGGGACCACAGAGCCTGCTGAACTCTCCTGCTATCTGTTTACACACACACACACATCTACCTATTTGTTAAAGTGTTTAAAAAGTGATATAGAGACGTGTAGGCCCTGGCAAATTGCTTTTCATCCTGGCCGTGACAAAGGGCCTCAGAAAGTAGCTAGCGGAGCTGGAGCCTGCACCTGTGGGACCTTCTCTGCACACAGGCCACTCGCTGTGGGGTAGGGAGCTGCCCCCTCTGCCCTTGAACCAATTTAGCTCCAGCTTCTGACCAAGCGAGGGAGAGATGCCCAGTGGGCTGAAGAATCAGCCAGGGCAGTGTCCTGAAAACCTGGCACCCCTGCAGGGACCGTCAACGTGTTCCCCAGCAGCCACCGAGCTGTCACAGGGAGACGCTGGCCTCTGGGGCAGAAGTCTCCGGCTCCGTGCTGGGTGGCAGCTCCCGGGATCCACCACCACATCAGGGGGCAAGTCTTCCTCTTGAAAATTCAGAGCTTCTCTGGGGTGCATTTGTGTGTTGTTTCCCTAAAGGCAGCAGACTGTGCCATTCTATATTTATGCTGCTCTAACCCTATTTTCTGTGTCTATCCGATAGGGAGCAGACTCCAGGAGCTCCAGGGCTGGGAACAGGCCTAGTCGGAACGCCAGGGATGTGCTCTTCACAGAGCCAGCCCCAGTGAGGCCGCCCTGCTCCTCCGGGCCCTGCTGGGCTCCGGCTGCGAGTGCAGAGCTTGCCTTCCCCAGGATTCTCGGGGCACGAGCACCTGCCTGCCCCCTTCAACCAGGTCTTGGTGTGATTTCCTATGTTCCCACACTCATATACGAATTGACATTCAAGGATGAACTTTTTTTTCGGGACAGGAATATGTAAACATTGAGAGAGAGAGAGAAAGAGAGAGAAAGGTCTTCCTTCCGATGGTTCACCCCCCAAATGGCCGCTGCAGCCAGCGTGCTGTGCCAATCCGAAGCCAGGAGCCAGGTGCTTATCCTGGTCTCCCATGGGGTGCAGGGCCCAAGCACTTGGGCCATCCTCCACTGCCTTCTCAGGCCATAGCAGAGAGCTGGACGGGAAGAGGAGCAACCGGGACAGAATCTGGTGCCCCAACTGGAACTAGAACCCTGGGGTGCCGGCGTCGCAGGCGGAGGATTAGCCTAGTGAGCCACGGTGCCGGCCTGGAGACCATTTATAAGCCAGAGAAGAGGATGCAATATCCAAATCTCCAAATGTCCCCAGAACCCAAAAGTCAGATGCCATTGCTGCTGCAAACAAAACAAAATGGGGTTATCTATGCACGTGCCACTGCACGCTCTGTGTTCCTTCCCCATCATTCTATTGTGAACATTACCTTGTGCTGTTATTTTTAAAGAACATCGTAGTCTAGCACAAGGGTCCACTACATGGATGTTATCAGAATGCGCTTAACTCTTCCCCTACTGCTGGGTACGCAGGTTGTTTTGCATAGTTCACAGTGATAAGCATCCTCCTTTGCCTACTTGTCTTCTTACAGTCAAGTCGTGGGAGTGGAATTGCTGAGTCAAAAGGTAGGGACTTTAAGGCTTGTGCCACCTGCTGCCACATTTCTTTCCAAACGTTGTACAGCAAATCACCCTACAGGTAGGCTGTACACCCTCCACTGTCTCGCAACAGTCTCACCGACCAGTACTTCAAAAGCAACTGGCCCTCCAGGGCCCAGGAAATGTGGGTTGTTAATCTCACTTCCAGTCTTCAGTATGACTTTTAAAACCTTAGTCAATTTGGTAGGCCAAATTTATCTCATGTCAGTTTACATGATCACCTAAAGTGAACTTGTCTTTTTAAATGTCTGTTGGTCACCTGTACTCGTAACCCTTCTGTGGAAGTGTCCGTGGTGGCCATCCCCGTTTTCTATTAGGTATTCAGCTTTTGCTTATTGATTTGCAATAGCCTTCTGTATGTAATCTTGGTCACATTTGCTTCAAATCTCTCACTGGTACACTTCAACCATCTGGCTCCTACACCAATTTATGCAAACCACTTTAGAATGAGAGGTCAGAGAGGAAATAACTAGGGGAGACTAGGAGCTCTTGGGCCAGTTCTCGGCGGCTTCCAGGACGCCGGGAGAGGTCTCGGGTGCAGATGGAGGTTGCAAGAGTCCCATGGATGCAGGGTGGATGTGGGCCTACTGTGTGCCCGGTGCCAGCCAGTACATGATGTCACTTAGTCATTGTAACAGTGCAATGGAGCAGATTTCATCATCCTTCTTTCAAAAAGGGCGATGTAACCAAGAGTGGCTCCCTGATCACCCAAGGCACCACGCTTGGAGGAAGAGCTGGAACTAGAACGAGGTCAGCGGCAGCCCAAGGGGGACCTCATGCGCCTTTGTTTATGCTTTGGTCACCCCTGCTTCTAAGCCATCCCAATTCTAGCATGGGGTGCTGTATTTACAGGCATCCGCCATGGCATATGTCACACTCAAGACTACTGCGCCCATATGGCCACAAACGGCGATGCTTGGTGGCTTCTCCAAGGGGAGGAGCAGACCCCTGGTTGTGAACATTGAATCCTGGAGGGTGACAGAGCAACAAGGCTTGAGCCGTAGGACAAAATACTCAGGGCTGAAACTCAGGCCAGGGCTTCGAAACAAAACACACATTCGTTCTGAGGTTACTCCCTTCACATTTAGATCTTACCACCGTGATTACTGAGTCACCCACCGACACCTGTCCTCCCCTCCTCCACCCACAGGCCCTCCTGGGAGCCACCCCCTATATAGATGCCCTGGGTGGGAGCTGCACGCCTGGTGTCCCCGCAGAACTATGCCCAGTCCTGCTTATGGGGTGATGGGGGACAGAACTAAAAGCTAAACTTCCCCGCCCCCTTTACTATCAGCCTCTAAGAAAACGTACTAAATAGTTTGTTCTTAAAACTTTCTGGACGTTTCATGGTAAGGCGCATCCCCCTTCACATCAAAGCACAGGCGTCCAACACCCACAAAGGCACCAGGTACGAGCGCAGTCAGCCCTCACTGAGGACCAAGACGCGGCAGCCGCGGGGCCTTACCTGGTCCCCGCAGAGCTGGCACCTTCGTCGGCAGTTGGGACTTCTGCTCGCTCCCGTCCCCAGGTGCTGTTGCGCTGCGCATGTCTGGATTGACTGTCAGTCTCCCCAGGTTTGGCCTCCTCTTTCTTGGTAAAATCTTTGGTGTCTGTGCTGCTGAAAGGTGCAAAGTCTTTTCAATAATTAACTTTGGAAAACACCTTCCGTGTAAAGAATGCTCAAGGGGCCCAGCAGTGGGGCGTGGGGCGTGGGGCGTGGGGAGGAGGAGGGCACTGACACCAAGTTCCGCTCCCTGCGTGAGCTTGGGCGGATCAGCCTACCCCTGCCTCAGTCTCCCCACCTGTTACTGGAAATCGTAACGCCCAGCTCATGAGGCTGTTAGCGCCGTTAATGAGCACCTGTGCAGAGGCCCGGGGTCTCCCCTTGCATTAAGCGTTTCCAGCCTCCAATTCATGGGGACACACAGCGGCCCCGATCCCCAAGTGCTCGCTCGGGTTTGAATCACAGCCTGTTTATATCCTTAGGTTCTTTCTTGGCAGCAAACACGGTCTTATAGTGCTGCTGAGGCCCGAGTTCCCAACGAACCTGCCCAAGTTCCCATTTGCTAACTGGTGTGGATCAGGTCAAGCCTCTTCTTCAGGCGAATTTAGCCTCAGTGCACACAAACTGGGGAGGCGAGTGGGTGGGTAGGGGGATGTTTGCAATATTTTCCATGCATACAAGTTCTTGGCTTAAATTGTGACTATTTAGATGACATTCCCTGGGAGAATCTGCCTGGCTCCGCCCCTTTTAGACAGGTTAGAAATTTCACAAATTGATGCAGCCAGCAGGCAACATTGCACAGCTGGGAGGAGCCCCTGACTTGCGGGAGCGCAGCCTCTGCTGGCACACAGGGCCCAGGGGATTTCGTGAATAGTCTTCATCCAGACTCGGGACAGAAAGGCAAGCTCGCTTTGGCGCCTGTGAGGCCTGCTTGTCGCTCTGACTGGGCCTGCTCACTTCCCCCGACAGCCCCAGGACAGGAAGGCAATGGGTTCCCACCTCCCAGACAGAGGGGATCTGCTCTCTCCTGGGAAACTTACTAGAAGAGGTGCGTGTGGGGTGCTGCTGGTGATGTGGGACCCCTTAGGGCAAGTTGGTGGGGCCGAGTCTGTGGGCGTGACCAGAGAGGAGACAGAGTGGGGGATCTACAGGGAACGGGCGTCTGTTCTGTGCAGGGTGCGGGGTGGGACCAGACCAGATTTCGCTGAGTTAAAGGTGAGGAGGGAGAAAGAGACAGCAGGCTTTTTTTTTTTTTTTTTTTTTTTTAAGATTTACTTATTATTTGAAAGGCACAGTTAGAGAAGGGAGGGGGAGGGGGAGGGAGGGGGAAGAGGGAAGGGGAGAGATCCTCCATCTGCTGGTTCATTCCCCATATGGCTGCACCGGCTAGGGCTGGGCCAGACCGAAGCCAGGTCTTCCTGGCTTTTGGGGTCTCCCACATGGGTACAGGGGCCCAAGTCTGCTTTCCCAGGTACATAAGCAAGGAGCTAGATTGGAAGTGAAGCAGCCAGAACTCGAACCGGCGCCCATATTGGATACCGGCATTGTAGGCGGCAGCTCCACTCACTGAGCCACACCCACCCCCATCAGGTGTTTACAGTAAGGGATCTGCTGCCATAGAGGAAATGGATGGAAGCGTTTTCTCAGCATCAAAGGTGTCTCCCTCCTCACAAATCAACAACGTTCCTGTCTCTCACCGGACTGACCAGAGAGGCAGGTGTGGGGCTTACACCACATTCAGTAAGTCAGGACCAGAGGTCCTGGTCCTGAGGATTTCACCCTGATTCCCAGCTGATGCCCCAGGTGGCTCACAGCCCCCGCCCCTCCATCCCCCCAGCCCACCCCAGCCAGATTTTCCCACTTCCAGTTTTACGTCCACCAAGTCTGCTCTGACTCTGCTTTGTCCCAAATCCCTAATTTTGCTGTCGTTTTAAACTGGCCTCTGGCGTTTAAATGCTCTGTAGTCTAAAACTGCGCAAGGTCTATGCCTTTTCTTTCCAGTGGACTGAAAGCTCCTTAAAGCCGAGGCCCATCTCGGAGCCAGGCTGTGTTGCTGCGGGCGTCCTCCTGCGGGACCACGGCCTGACGTGTTCAGCGAACTGCAAAACTGGGATGAATGCTTTTATTGTGCAAAACACCCCAGGTGGCTTAAGATAAAAGTTTATTATATTTTTCTGATTCAAAAAGCTACTTTCTTCAAAGCATCAGATCTCTTAAACAATTAAAAAAAAAACTATTACCTCTAAGCAAGTTCTCAGCGAAGTGGCATTAGGCTACAGAGGCCAAGGGACCAGAGATTGTTTGACCAGCAGGACAGAGACTACATCACATTTGTGAACCTCTGGCGATTGAACCTCAGTTTGTGTACCTATAACACAGGAATAATCCTACTCTGCATTATTGTGAAGTTTAACATTAATACACGTAAGTGGCCTAACTCAGTGCCTGCTGTATATCAGACACTGAAAATGGTCGCTGCTGTTTCCACCATAAAGAGTAATAATAATAGTATTATCACTAGTAGTGGGAAATCCAAAATCGCTCCCGTGAGAAAACTGAGTTTTGCCAGAAACTCATTGTTACGAAGGGCAGCCTTCCGTCCCATGTGGCTCTTGCTGATTCTTCCCTTTGATCTTTTATTCACAAAGTCCAAGAGGCAATAGTAACTCTCTTTATTATAATTCGCTTAACAAATATCTGTGTGGCTTCGCTGTGCAGTAATCTGAGGGATTGTGGAGATGAGTGCGACCCGTCGGTCGTGACTTGAAGATTCTGATCTGTTTCGGTTGCACGGCTGATGCTTCCCTGTGCTACCCTTCAGAGTCTATGGACAGGATAGACCATCTCGTATGAAATAGTCCTCTTCCCTGTCCGCAATCACAGGCACAGAGGAGCTGACCCAGAGGCATAGCTCACGTACACATGGATTTAAGAGCTTCAGACACTTGGGGGTGGGCATTGGGCACAGTGGCTAAGCTGCGTGTTGGGATCCCGTATATCAGAGTGCCTGGGTTCAAATCCTGACTCTGCCCTCTGTTCCAGCTTCCTGCTAATATGCATCCTGGAAAACAGCAGGTGCTAATGGTCTCCGCCACCCACACAGAGACCTGGATTGAGTTCTTGGCTCCTGGCTTCAGCCTCACCCATCCTGGGCTGTTGCAGGTACTGGAGAGTGAAGCGGTGGATGGGACACCTCTGTCTGCCTTCCAAAACAAACAGAATAAAAACAAGGAGTTTCAAACACTCGACTTCTATAGCAAGTTCCTAACAACCTCGCCCACACGCAATGGGAGCCAGGTTTCACACCTTTGGGGCCCATCTGGGGTGGGTCCTCCCGTGGCGTGCTGCATGACCACATCAACCTACAGAAGACCAAGACACACAACTTCCTGTTCAGGTAGAACAAGCCCATGGCCTCGCAGAAATGGAGGAGTTTGTATTCAGGGGGTTTGTCACCAGGTGACTCAATTCCTTGGTTTGGCATTGAGTTTGGGAAAAACGGTGGTTTGCTGTTGGCATCACACAGTCCACCCTTCTTCTAGTACTTGAGCCGGGTGACGCCCCCAGAAGCAAAGAAACCACACAGACTGGCTAAAAGGCACCTGCCCCGGTTCTCTCGACAATGCTAAGCCACCCCAGCGTTAACCGAGTAGTTCTTAGTTTGAGCAGGAGAGGAAAACAAGCAGAAATCTCACATTTATGCAAGACCCTCACAACACAGAACCGAATCCACCCAGCTTGGTAACTCCTTGTTCCGATCCTCACATCACTTGCCACACAGTCTTGATACAGCCAAAAACGAGAAAGAAGGAAATACGATGACCTCTTCCCTCCATCTCCAGCCCCTCCCTCGACTGGGACCCCTGATCCTGGGAGATACTAAGAGTCTGTCTGAGAGCCGCCTCTTCGAAAAACCCGTTGGGTCACAGAGATCAGAGCTTAATCACTAGAGCTCACGATGCCTTGGCTGGCGTAATAGGCAACTCTCTGCATAGTCACAAATAATAACCACCTCTGTCTGCCTGCTTGCGGGTGCCACAGACGCGTGTTGTCGCCCATACCCACAGGAGATCTTAATTAAAGCTTAATTCTGTTCCACAAACACATTTTGGAACTCAGGAGGTGGGATTTTTGAGTTTAGGAAATGCAATGTCCAATAAGCAGGCAGGAAAGGAACGTAAACATGCGCTGAGCCCTGGAACTCGTCCATCCCTCCCCAGTGTGGCTCCGAACCCCCGGCCCCTGGGACCGCCCTCCCGGGGCAGCCTGGCCTGCGGCATGATCAGACACGGAGCAGCCTGCTGGGTCTCTGATGCTGACGTCCCCAAGTGTGCCAGACACAGGAGTTAAGAAAGCAATTGAGTCTCCAGAGGCGACGGGATTTTATTGGTCACTCTCTCCTTTAGCAAAAAGGCGAGCCCGGGGGAGGTGGTGGCGCTGGCTCGTCTTCCTGCTCCCTGCACACACCACCTCCAGGGACCGTCCGTGACATGGCCTCCGGCCCCTCCCAGGTGTCTCCCTCCCCCTGGCTCCGCCGTGCCGTGTGCCTTGCATGGGCAGCTTACCACACGAGGTAAATTTTACTGGGCCTCCTGGGGCCGGGCAGGCACAGCACGGGGGTCTCAGCCGGGGTCGGGCAGGAGATGGGGAAGTAGCACAGGGTTGCTGGGGACTCGGGCACGGGGCCCGGGGAGGAGGACGTGGGGCTTGGAAAGGTGGGGAAGGTGACAGGAGGGAGGTAGGAGGAAGGGCCCTGGGCCGACGGGGAGGCAGGTGGCACGAGTGGCAGGAGGAGGCAGCAGTAATTGGCGCTGGGCTGCGGGGCCGGGGAGAAAGCAAAGACGGAGCAGTAAGGGGAATACTCGACGCGGAACAGGGGGTGCTCGCTGCTGCCACCTGCACAAAAGAGAAAGAGCAGTCAGGACGCAGCACTCACAGGCGGGGGAGAGGATGCGCACACGCACACACGCACACACACACGCGCGCGCAAAGCCTGCAAATGAAGCAAAACGCAGAAGATGTCCTTCTGGGTGGGAGAGGGGGCTCAGAGGTCAGAGGGGCAGCAGGCCCAAGAGGCGCCAGCTTGCAACCAAGTCACTGAGGAGCTAACCGAG